TATATGGGGTTCTGGTATGAATTAACTGAGTATGTACCTTGGGGTGGGGTATCCCCAGCCCTAACCCTAGCCCTTTCTCCTGTCCCTCAACCCTTTCTTCCTTCCAAGCTCCCTCACCCAGTGAGGCTGTACATGACCCTTGGAAGCTCCAGAGTGCTCCAGGTCTTTTAAAATGACAGTTCTGTTAAGCTCCACATAACCCTAACCTTTCTCAGGAAAGGTGGTGGGTGGATGGAACCAGCGCTCTTGCCTATGGGTGTGTAGACTGTGTGTGTGTGTGTGTGTGTGTGTGTGTGTGTGTGAGAGAGAGAGAGAGAGAGAGAGAGAGAGAGAGCGCGCGCGCGCGCGCGCGCGCACGCGCGCGCCAGGGTGGGATAAGCATATCTGCTTCCTAGGTTTCTTCAGCCCGAGAAAGGTTGTCCATTAATCCCTCTGGACCAATGTGACATGCTTTGAACATGAATTCGTATATTAATGCTCCTGTATACAGGAATATCTTGCATTGTTGGTGTGAAGTTCCCTTCCCCTGACCCAACAGAGCCTCAGCCAGTATTTCTTCAGCTGGTAGCCCAGCTACATCCCTATCTGGGCAGAGATATCCTGGTATCAGTGACCTACGCTTTCGTAATCTTTGAGTTAGACTACTGCAATGCAATCTATGTGGGGCTGTCCTTGAAGACTGTTCAGAAATTTCAGTTTGTGCAAAATGCAGTAGTCAGATTAGTAACAGGGATCAGAAGGTCTTATCATGTAACATCAATTCTGGCTCACTTGCATTGGCTGCCTATATGTTTCCAAGACCAATTCAAAGTGCTGATTTCGACCTATAAAACCCTGCACTGCTTGGGGCCATGATACCTGATGGAACATCTCTCCCAACCTCTATCTACCTGGACACTATGATCAAGTTCTGGGACCTTTCTCCAGTCTCCTCTTCTGAGGAAGGCTTGGATGATGACAATAAGTAGAAGAGCCTTTTCAGTGGTGGTCCTTCAGCTCTCTACTGAAAAGCCTGCCTGAAACCAACTTTCCTATCTTTTCAGTGCCAGGTAAAGACCATCCTCTACTGCAGGGCATGTAATTAGTTACTGGGGCCTGCTGATTGTTAGACAGGATTTAACAGGAACTTTTTAACATATAATTTTTGTTTCTTAGTTTTTAATTTGGTTTTAAATTTTGTATTGCCAACTTGTATAATGTTTTAATATGTTTTAATTGGTATATATTGTTTTAAAATATGCTGTTTTGAACCATCCAGAGAGCTGTGGCTGTTGGGCGGTATAGAAAATAAATAAATAAAAATTAGATGCGATACAGAACTTTTTCTTAGCATGGGTAGCCAGGGATAGGGTAAAATGAAGTTTCCACATGCTGTTTTATAATCAACATATTATCTACCCAATCTCTGGAAAATGCATAAATAAAATAACCAATGCTTTTAGTTATAGGAAATAATAAGAACATGATCTTACTGTGCAAGTGCTTGGGAAAGCCTCAGTTTGACAGCATATGCCTGGCATCCTGTCCTCTTCCAGCTATGCAAGGATTGTGAAGTGGGAAATGAGGAGCATGCAAAACACTTCACATAGAAACAGAGCGAGTCAAAAGGGGCCTCCCAGGCCATCTAGTCTGACCTCCGGCACCAGCCGGCTCCGCTTACGACATGCCCACCATGTGCACATCCAGCCTATCCCTGAACAGCCGCACCGATGGGGCCTCAACGACCTCTCGTGGAAGCCCATTCCACACCCTCGGGGTCCTGACTGTCAGGAAGTGCTTCCTGGCAGCCAAATGGAACCTCGGCTCCCTGAGCTTTGCTCCGTTGGAGCACATCTTGCCTTCCTCTACAGGGAGAACAGGTCTCTACCCACCTCCGTGTGACACTCACATGCCTGTATGTCGCCAACATATCCCCTCTGAGTCTCCTCCAGACTGAAGAGACCCAGTTCCCTCAGTCTCACCTCATACCCCATCCCCTGCAAACCGGCCACCAACCTTGTGGCCCTACGCTGCACTGACTCTAACCTGGCTATATCCTTTCTGTAATGAGGGGCACAATACTCCAGTTGCGGGCACACCAGACTCGTGTAGAGTGGTAGTAATACCTCTCTTGATCTAGAAGCCACACTTCTGGCTATGCAACCAAGGGTGGCGTTCGCCCTCTTGACCACTGCATCACACTGCTGACTCATGTTCAGCCTGCAGTCAACCAGTACCCCGAGGTCCCTTTCACAAGTGCTGCTCTCCAGCCACTTATCACCTAACCTGTACTTATGACAGCTATTCCTATGCCACAAGTGCAAGATCTTCACAAGGAAGTAGGCACTGTTTCCTAGCCTCTGAGTGTACTTTACTTATTCTATCCTGCATTTCATTAAAATTACTGTGAGGTGCTTCAATTAAAGCTTCATTGGCTCCCCCTGCCCTGTTTGTTACCTCTTATTTGTAGTTTTAATGATGTATATATTAATTATTGCTTTTTGAGCAGTGATGGTGTGTTTTGTATTGTGTATTTTAAAGGAATTGTAATCTGCTTTGTGAACAGTCCAACCCTGGAAAGCAAACTATAAATCTATGAAGGAAAAGATGCTCTGCTGAGCAGTGGATGAATTTTATGGATGTGTTTCAGCTCAGGGTAATGAAAAGATGGTGTTGCCAGGAGACGTGGGTGAGGGAGACTCCAGAGGTGTTTGTCTGCAAGCCATGTGCACAGCAGGTGGTTTGCACACCTATTTGTATCTGTGTTTGGTATCTCTGCTTTGGCATTTCTGTAGATTCTGAGCTAAGTGAACTGTGGCATTCTACACAGGGCAAGCAGATTAGAAACTGGTGGTTTACAGGGGCTCTTGAAACAGCCTATGTATCCTGTCCCATGCAAGAATGGGTTGTGGGCACTTGCTCATAGTAATATTGGAATCTTGCATTTTGCATTTCTTACCTATCTGGTTCAAATACAGAACATTTAAAGATTTTTTAAAATTGCTGTACACATAGAACTTGCAAAAGAAACAATAGCTTGATGCTTTAGTAATGTCACTGAAATGTGCATTAGTAATGTATTTTAGGCCCCAAACTGCAGCAATTTCAGCTGGTCACTTTCCAGCATTAACAGCTCCCAATCATTCCTGCCTGTCAATCGGTTCACCTATTTTTGTGGTATGGCTCAATGACTCATTGCAGAACCCAAGCTAATATAAAATCCTGCTGCCACCACCTTTACATCTGAAACAAATGCTTTTAGACATCTTTAATTTACCGCAGAACCCCTGCTATTAGCAGTGTACAAAAGTGTAAGCTTTCTTTTGGTCCAGAATAATGAATAACCTCCATGTTCATTTGATACAGGCTACAATCCAACCCAAGGCTTAAGCAAGCTTAATCCCATTGCAGTAAACTGGTTTAATGCACTTAACTCAGCATCAGATCAGGGCCACAATGTACAGTAGGATCCAAAGCTTTTCAGACTCTAGTGCCTATGAGAGGTTTATGTTTTGTTTTAATTAACAAACGAGCTTTCCTGCAATAGTATTTCATTTGGGGAAAGTGATCAATACCCTCTTTGTAAATCAGCTCAATCATATTTATTTAGTCCCTTCAATTCAATGCTGGACAACTAGCGACCTCTATTGGTAAGTTTGCAAGATGAGAAGAGAGACAAAGAGGTTTGCAAGTCATCCCTCCTTAACGATTTTTGGGGAAAAATGAAAGAAATTATTTTTCCTTTCCATTGCATTTTCAAAGGTATTTTCTAATGCCAGCTATCAGAAAAGGCAATCACGTTAGTTCTTTCTTTTGTATAATGGAATTACACATGAATATGCAAAAAACCTAATATACTCATATATAAACTGCTAGAAAAGCAGGAAGTCACCAACATTGACTTTCCAAGTGGTGTTATACAGATTCAAAGGGCAGCTTTTGCTTACACAGATTAGTGGAAGTGGCACCACCTCTAGAAGTAAGACCCTTTCATTATTTGGTTTTAGAGTTGTAACCAAATATTTTGGGGGAGAAATACTTGTTTACTGGACAAGAATTTGACAGCATATGTATTTTTGATAAGACTTGTAAAGAACTGAAAGAACTACTCATCTATGTACAGAGTTTTCTCTTTTTGTAACGATAGCAACATATTTCTGATAATCAACCTTATAGAATACTATACAGAATAGTAGAACATCCCCAAATGCCATCTTTCAGTTAAGTTGCAGCGAGTATTCCACAAGAATCACGAAGTAGTATATAGTTAAACTGATATAATGCACAATTTATATGTAAGGCAAAAAATGATGACTTTTTTCCCCAGCAGGACAAATTTAAAAATGTTAGGACTTTGCAGAGCTCTTGAATAAGGTAGTTAAGAAAAAGAAAAGGCATCTTTTTGCACAGGACAAGCTTGGCATACCAGGGTACCTAGGATTAGGAGGGCTGAGAGGACTGATACGCACTTGCATCTGGACACATATTTCAGTTTCTCAGGGAGCTCCAAACTGTCATGTGAGAGAAAAGCTCGTTCCAAGATCTATGTCCTAGAAACTGACTATGTGCATAAAAAGCACGCCTTTCAGGTTTCTCTATTCTTCTAGCCAGTTCCAGCGCGGACAGGATTGCAGACAAGAATCCAAAAAAGGCATTCCCATTTGGTTTTCTTTCTGTCTTCTCTTCTTGAGCCAAGGAAGGGGAGGGGAATCACTTTTCCCTGAAAAGAAGGCACATGTTGGAAGTTTTCTTTCCTTTTCTCTGCCTCCCCTCCCTTCTCCAAAATATCTGCCCGAAGAAAATTTATAAGAAATGCAGTTAAATCACCATTATGAATCACTCGCCTTCCCTCCCTGCCTCCTTCCTTCCCCCCTAGCCTTTTCTGAACCGAAAACTGGATTTTAGTAGTCACTCCCCTTCTACTTCTTTGCCAGAGTTGTTCATTATTCATAGTCCGGGGCGTGTCCTAAGCAGGGGTTCTATATAGGCTAGACCTTTAGATGAATGAGAGACCAGATGGAGCAAAGTTAGAGAGTAGAAGCAAATTGCAGTCAACAAAGAGATTTAAAACGACCAAAAAGAAAGGAATTTCATCTTCTTTAAATTATTATTTTGCATCTTCCTTTCTTCTCTCTCCTGTCTTAGGAGTGGGTTTTTTTTCTTCCCACCGGGACCCATATCTTCTTAGCTTGTGTGTGTGCGGGGGGATTTTTTTTCTTTTTTAAAACTGCTGCAAAAGGGAAGGGAAAACCCAACAACCCCAAAGCGATTTAGCAGCTTTGAAAAGAAGGGCGGGGGAAGCAGAGAGAAGGTTTTTTAAAATTTATATAGATCGCTAATTTAATAGCTGCATTAGCACTAAAGGGGGAAACAGAATTGTTCTGCTGCAGGTCACTTCCAGCACCGAAGGGGCTGAGCGACTCCTGTTCTGGCTTGCTCTTGCACATGATGCTGAGTGTGAGAGAGAGAGAGGCTGTTCTCGAATCTCTTGAATAAGAGAAGGGTGTGTAAAGCTCCCTCCCACCGCAACATTTATTATTTTTTATTGTTTTAGACTGCTGGTGCACCCTCAGGGTGTACAAGTACCTGTGACTCTTGCCCCCCACCTCCTCGGGCAGGCACTCGGGATCCCCACACCCACCCGCGCCACTTCAGAAGCGTGTGTGCGCGCGTGTGAGTGACTGTCTGCCTTTCTGTGTCGGGGTGTCCTGCTCTCCTGTCCCTTGCCCTCGAGGTGTCCTTTACGGGAGGGTGCTCGCCCCGCAACGGCTGCTGCCCCTCGCTTCTCTGCTCTGCTCTCTGCCTGCCTGCCGTGCTTTTTCTCCCCTCTCTTCGCCCCCCTGTCGCCGTTGCTATGGTGTCGCGGCTCTACGTGCCGCTGTGGGCAGTGGCGGCGGCGGCGGCGGCGCTGCTGAGCCGGCTGGCGCTGGCGGTGGGGCCGGTGGTGCGGTGCGACCCGTGCGACTCCCGGGCGCTGGAGCAGTGCAAGCCGTTGGCGCCCGAGTGCCTGGAGCTGGTGCGGGAGCCGGGCTGCGGCTGCTGCCTGACATGCGCCTTGCAGGAAGGGAGCCCGTGCGGCGTGTACACCGAGCGCTGTGGCTCCGGCCTCAGCTGCCGGCCCCGAAGCGACGAGCAGAAGCCCCTGCAGGCGCTCCTCGACGGCAAGGGGCTCTGCACCAACGTCAGCGGCGACGCGGCCGTGGCCGGGGGAGGAGGCAGCTCCACCGGCAGCAGCAGCTCCGCCGGCAGCAGGCTCCGCGACTTCCTCCTACGAGGGACCCACGGGCCAGGTAAGGAGACCAGAAAGGGGCGGAAGGGAAGCGGATGAGGGCGGCTCGAACAGCAAAGCCTGAGCCGGCCACATGCCCACGTCTGCTACGTGTGTGCAAATGTATGTGAGAGAGGCCGCCGCTTTTTAGTGTGTGTGTGTCGCGTGCAGACCGGGCAACCCTAGGCCTCTTCCTTTCTGAGTGGAGAAGCAAGAGCTCGTTTTCCTTGTGCCGCACTATACAAAGCTGCAGTTTTAGGCGGTGTCTCTGTGTCGTCCTAGTAGCAGCAACTCATGTTGCGTGCGTGCGTGCGTGTGTGTATGAGGGAGGGAGGGGGGAGAGTGCGTGCGTGCGTGGAGGGAACATTTTGTGCGGACTCTTCTTAAGAAGTACCAGCGTGTGTAACGTTGGATCCTTGGGATGTGTGTTGTGCTGATAGTGGCTAGACTTCTCTGGTATGCATATGCGTGTGTGTGTGATTACGTGTAACCCCGCCATGTGATATATGTAAGTTCTTGGTTGAGTATGTTTGTGTCAAACCGCCTATGTTGTTTTTCAGGGCTTTATAGAAGATGCATGAGCATACGTGTGCGTACACATTTGTGCCTTGCCTCACGTGTGTTCAAACAGAACTTGCTGTCCTGTGCGAAAGCACAGTTTATCTTCTTCGGTGTGGGGTGACTTAGGCAAAGGCGGATCTTTTGTGTGTATGTGCCTGAAAGTGTATCTTGAATACGCTTAACAGTTTCAGTCAAATTGAGTAAATTATTAAGAAATTAGTCAGTTTCACAAGTGTGTATGTGTGTGATTTTCTATTTTCTGTTAAGTTTCCCATGTTCAAAAGTGATTCTTGGTGAAATGTGGTCCTAATGTAGAAAGTTAGTATCTGATTGCCAGGACTCGTGTGACCTGTATGCATATAAAATAAGGCTTTACAGAGTTCGTTGTCTGTGTGGACAGCACTATTTTTTTGGCTGCATCTTCAGGCAATGATGGCTTTGTGTATACATGTAAATTGTAGTATGCTGAGTTAGCTCTTGATGGAGCAATTTTGTTCATGTAATTTCCTATGCAATTTCAGCTCCTGCTGTTCAGAGAACATGCAAGGTTTCCTTTCTGTTCTTGTCTAAAATGGTTGGTTTGTGTCCATGACTAAAGCAGCCTAGGCAACTGGGTTTCTGATTTGTACGTGTGTTCCCAAAAGTGTTTGATTTCAATGCAACATAGAAGGCACCCTGATATATAATGTCACTAGTTTCTAAAAACAAAAAGTTAAAAGGGCAAATAGTTTTCAGTAACTCTTTAAAAGAACTTCCATATTACAATACCTTGAAGAGCTTGAATTTCTCCATTTTCTGCTAAAGTTTGTGAACTTGTGTATCTACATGTAAACTATGGCTCATTTTAATAGTTGAAGAAAGGTCTTTTTAAAAAGAGCCATCCATGCTTCCAAATCCTCTGCAAAAGTAGCAAGTACTAATTAAATACCCAGGAGCCTTCCTAAATGAATTAATGATTTGGCAAAACCGTGTGAGTCTGCTCATACTCAGCAGCTTACAGAAAGCATATCCAAATGATTTTTTTTTGCAAAGTTCCTGGAAAGTAGGAGGGGAGGAAGAAGCAAGTGTGGCACTGAGTTCTGCAAGCAGTAGACTGAGGTGAAAATAGTATGCTATGCAGTCTAATCCTATGGATGTTTACTAGAAAATAAGCCCCATTGAGCTCATTAGGGCTTGCAGCATTGTAAATATACCTAAAATCACAGCTTTAATTTGTTTAGAAGATACTAATATATAATTAAAATGCACAAAAGATGGTGTAATTGATCACTGTCAAATGAAGAGTGCAGCCCATACTGGCTGCGGAATGCTGGGAATAGTAACAGAGTTTTTCCTGTTAAAACATGAACAGGATTGCACCCTAAATTGGCTCATCAATGACATTAAAAGGGGAAGTAAAAAGGAACCCTAATTGCATGATTCCATTTGTTTTAAAGCCAGACTTTCCTATTTCCATTTGCAAGCCAATTTGCAAGAGAAATTTAGTGGCTCCACTTTTAGTGCAGCTTTAATTGATCACAGGTGGTGGAAATAACTTCCTTGTACATGTACAGTTTTGCAAAAAACAGACAAAGCTGGGATTCGAGATTAGAAAAAATAACTTTATGCAGGAAAACATTTGTTTATTATAGTGATTATGATTATTACTAATAATATCATAACCACTTGGACATTTTGTGGGCTTAATTCAGCCCATTTTTGGCTGGCCTTTTCTCACCTGAGAGGTTGGCTACTCAAGTCTACTTTTGAATGTAATCCCCAGAGTGACTCAGTATATTTCCTGAATTATTATAAATTTGTGATTCCCACTTCACAACAGCTTGAACGAGGAAAAGCTTTAAACATGTCAAGATTTAAACTGCATTGAAACATGTCAGTGTCCTTTAGCAAGATTGTAATGTTAACACTTCCTTAAAACACATTCAGAGTAAAGAATTATTCCTTACAGATCAGTGATACCTACTGAGCATAATTATCAGTTAAAATGAGAAGGAGGATTTTGGTACTATATATATCAGCATAGGATATCAGGCAGATGTCTGCTGTACTAGCTCCTTTTCAAGCTTTTAGATATCCTGCATAACTGAACTTTTTTTCTCTCATCTTTGATCAGAGATTTTCCTAGCATGAGTAGAAGTAGGGTGTGTAACTATAGCAGGTGATAAAGGATTTTTAGGGCCAGGGGGCGGTGGGGGGGGCAGAGAAGAAGATTCAATTCAGTAAGTGTTGCTGATGTGTTGCTGAGATCTTGCTTCCTGTTGGAACTTAGTGGGCAAGTTAGTATGGCAATAGCTACTTAAATGGGTGGAGGATGCATCCTCCTGAAATCTGTTAAAGAAATGTATTTCAATTAGAAGTCAAGTGGAGATTTGCCTAGAATGAATGGCAAGACCCCTGCTATTTCCCTGCTAATGAATGGCAAGACCTTCAAATTATGCTTTGGAAAGCAGGAATGGTGTTTGATGTAACGATAAGTAATGGAAGATAAGTAATGGAGACAGTAACTTACTTTCCACTGTCAGTCTTCCCCTGCAATGTTCATTTTCAAGGAAGTGTTCCATATCTTGCAAGGCTCATTGACTGTTAGCATGGGACAGTGGTGAAGTCCAAAAGGCCAGGGCAGTGAGCTGTTTAAACTATGAATATACCTTAGAAGACCCCCTGCAACATGCTGGAATTTCTTGACAGACATTTCCCTGGGAGCAGAAAGATTTTTAACCTCCTGCAGTAGGACAAGAAAGTTGTATTCTCAGTGTCAAGAGCCAAGAGAGTAAGTTCAGAGTAATTTTTACAATTCCCATAATTTCCCAGCCAGCCAAGGTGGCTGGGGAATGCTGGAAACAGCAGAACTTTTATTGGTCTAAACATGCATAGGATTTTGCCCTAAGTCACCATTTTGCAGTGCTTGGCTTGGAGATGGGGAGGACCTGGCTAGCACAGCTCCCTAATTAGCCTTAGGGAAATTGCTAGTTTAGCTTAATTCATAAGGTTGTTGTTAGGCTAAAATTCAGATCTAAAGTTCTGGGAGGGAGGATGTGACACAAATATTACAAGCAAGAAAAACAAAAACCCGTCAGTAATATTATCTGTCTAAGGACTAAACAGCATTGATCACCCATAAATTGGAGTTTTGTGGGTAGATATTTAGCAAAGCAGTGTGGTTTTTTTCATGAAAATATGTGCTGTGTCATGCACCAGTTTTGTCATTAAGATGCAGTACTAATAGAGCAAAATGACACTCCTTCATTACATTGGCCAGAGGCTTTGGCCTTCAGATTCGTGAGACATCTTCAAGCCAAATAAAACAAAGAAATCTAACAGGGCTGATTTGCTTAGGCAATATCATTTTGCTTTCCAGAATGTAACTAAAGTGATTTAACTAACTTGGCACCACTTGTATAACCTAATTGGATGCCACTGAGTTGTCACTGCCTAGTCAGTGAGATATATATCTACGTATTGGTTAGAGCTGAATTTTAAGGACAAGGGTGTCAGATTTCACAATGAGTACTGTTTTAAGGAATCTACATGCCAAACCATACAAATTATCTATCATGATCTAATAATCTCGATGAATAATATCTGAATCTTTACGTGCAGTTATAAAAGAACATAATAGTATGACATACTTGAAAGAAACCTACAAAGGAAATAGCCAGGTTTAAAAAATTCATTTAAAAATGGATATAAAGTCTATCATGTCTAAAAACAGCAACCCTGATGAGTGACATTAAGAGGGTTAAACACTGCTGCACCTTTCAATTAAAACTATAGAAAGCAGGCTATCTGCTTACTCAAAACATTTGCTGAAAATTTAAATTGTTCTTATGCATTATACCCATTGTCAACAAGCTGTGCCAAAACCACCGATGGCAAGATCTTATGCTTAATCCCACCCATTCCTCGTCTTGGCAACATATTGCATGGTTCTTCCAGCTGAATGGCAATGTTTATCTTCTGTTCTGAATTTCTTGCCGTGTGTGGTTTTGAATAAAATTTTAGTATCAATTTCTGTGGTCAGTTTTAAAGCCAGTCTCTTCCTTGCCCAGCACTAAATAGTTGTACATTCCCTGTTCTTCGATTAATAGTTGTATGTTCTTAATGTTATTTCCACATGTGGCCTTTAGCTCAATGTAAGCATCCAGTAAACCTGGAAGATGCTAATCTTAAATATATTACAGAGGAAGCTACAGTTATAATGTGTGCGTGTGCATGTGCGTGTGTGCTGAGGGGAGATATAGTGTAGATGCTTGCTTCTTAACTATATGGCAAGAAACATCATGTTTGTCCCATACTGAGAAGCGGTTTCTTTACAGAGATTTTTTTTTTAAACAATGATTTCTGGACCTCAGTATAGCAATGTTTATAGCTCTGAAATGGATTCAAGATTGTTAAAAATAGGATGAAGTATGAAATAATTCAGGGCATGTCACACAGCCTAATGATTACTGTTGCACCATTGAGTGGTAATAGTACACACTTGAATTACATATGCACCCATTTGTCATAGGTGGGAAAATCTTAATTGTGAATTCTGTCCCCATGTAGAATAAAAAGAAACTCAGAACTCTTCATGGCGATCACAATATAGTCATACATTTTATATAATAGGTAGTCATTAAGTCAGTAACAAATTACCTGTGTTCATTTATTTATTTGGCAAGGTTGCTATCAGATTTCTGATTTGGATCCAGACATCAGGAATGGTGCAAAGCTGCCCCCTGCTGGTTGGATATAGAAATGTTTCTTCAAATACAGGCAAGGCAATTTGCTAGATTTTAGCGGTTTTAAAATTACGACTGGGAAAACAAATCAATTTAGAACTTATAGGACAGTTTTTAAATGTCTAAATATAAGCGAAAGATACACAAGCCTAACAACCCAATAATAACGCTGGAATGATAGGTTGAAAAGTCACTAGGTCCCTTCAGTCACAAGAACACTGAACTCTTTCTGTTGAGGAAATAGATCCTGCAGTCTATGTGATGCTGAAGGCTGTCTTCAGACCACTTATTCCAAAATAGTGTCATTGACTTCAGTGGGCTACTCCAGGATAAGTGGTTGGTTTTTAACCATTGTGGCTGGAGTAGTTGTGTGTAATACAATCTCTGAAAGCCTTGGTATGTAACTACATAAGTTCACAATTTGTTCCTTGTTACATTTGCCTCAGCCTTCCCTTTTTTGTGACCTCCATTGTCAAACTGAAGATCAGCCTTCTCCAACCTGCCCCCCGCCCCATGTATTGCACTATAGTTTTCTTCCAGCTAATGTGAGATTGATGTAAATAACAAGGACCTGTTGCTTTTGATTGCTACTCTGGAATGCTTCATGTAGAAATATGTTGCAATGTTTATAAAGCAATTTAATACTACTAATAATAATAGTAACATATTTTATGCAAGTTTTTAAACTATCCATAATAAATGCTTGACTAACTTTTTAAAAAACCTTCTTTATGAAACAGGGAATTCCAGTGATTCAGAAGAAGACCAGAACATCAGTAGCACAGAAAACCAGTCTTTTCCCCCAACACACAGGCTGTTGGATTCCAAGTCACATCCTCACCACACCAAAATAGATATCATCAGGAAAGAGCATACCAAAAATACCCAGCGCTACAAGTACGACTCACAAAGCACAGACACACTGAATTTCTCTTCTGAGTCCAAACAGGAGACTGAATATGTAAGTATTTTTCTTTCTTTAACAGATAAAACAACATGTGTATACTCATGAACGTTCACCTTAAATGGATAAATGCTCTTGATATTCTTGGTTGCTGGATCTTGTGAAGTCACCAGAATGATCAGAATAGGAGATTCTGGGCAATCTACAAGATAATGAATTACAGAGAACATGTAATTCTCTGAACATGTTTATTCTGTGAATCAGTCGTTACTTCACAGACAAGTATTTGCTCTTTTGGATATCATACATATAACCTGAAGTACCACCATAAATCTCCTAAACTTTGGGGCAAAAATAGAGGTTCCTGTTTGAGGGGAACAACATGAGTTTTGATGACTAGCTTTGCAGGAAGGTGCCACACAACCCAAGTTGGGATGGCACAACAAACATTCATGCAAGCTGTTAGTCAAGCCATGTTGCTGATATTTATTTGTCTCATCAGTGCTGAGTGTCCTGTTGGGAGCCCAGAGCTGCAGGACAATTTATTTATTTATTTAGGGAACTTCTATGCCGCCCCATTCGCCGAAGCCTCGGGGTGGCTCACAAACATAAATAAATAACATCATATAAAACAATATAATTTAACAGTATAAATTAAGTCGCTCTGGCCAAAGAATAAAATAAATAATATTAACAATTAAAATAACGTTTGAATACAAAGGTCTTCGCCTGGCGCCAAAAAACAAATAACGACGGCACCAGGCGGACCTCTCTGGGGAGCACATTCCATAGATTGGGTGCCACCACAGAGAAAGCCCTCCTCCGAGTACTTACCCTCCTAATTTCCTTCACGAAGAGTTCCCAGAGAAGGGCCTCTCCCGCTGATCTCAAGGGGCAGGCGGGTGGGCGGGCATATATGGACGTAAGCGCTCCTTCAGGTAACCAGTACCCAAGCCGTTAATGGCTTTATAGGTCATCACCAACACCTTGAATTGGGCCCGGACTTCAATGGGGAGCCAGTGAAGCTGACGGAGAACTGGAGTCATGTGAACATAACACCCAGTCCCCATCAGCAGCCTGGCAGCTCTATTTTGAACCAATTGAAGTATCCGGACCGTCTTCAAGGGCAGCCCCACGTAGAGCGCGTTAAAGAAGTCAAGTCAGGAAGACACCAACGCGTGTGTCACTGTTGCCAGGCAGTTGTTCTCCAGGTAGGGGCGCAGCTGATGGATCAGCTGAAGCTGAAAGAAAGCATTCCTCGCCACCGCTGTCACCTGAGCTTCCAGTGAAAGCTCTGGGTGGAGGAGCACTCCCAAGCTGCGGACGTTGTCCCTAAGAGGGAGTGCAACCCCATTCAGGACTAGGTTCGATTCACCTTCCCCGAAGCCTGATCCGCCAACCAACAGGACCTCCGTCTTGTCTGGATTGAGCTTCAGTTTATTGGCCCTCATCCAGCCAAAGTCTCTATACAGTCAGCAAAGCTAATAAGTTTTGGGTTTTGGATTATGCGTTAAGCAAAATGTTGAAGTGAATAAGGAAGCATCTACTCAGGAAAAACATCTGAGTGATTTTAAAGGAAGCAAACATTTTAAGAAGGCTAGTAAAAGTTTGGAGAAGATTTTTATAATCCCCCCAGACTAACTGCCTGATTGGACCAGTTACTTTATTAATAATGCATTAGTTCCATTTTATTTTTCTTACAGAGAAGACAGAGGCACTAATAAGTAAAATTGCCTTGCTTTCACTCTATCTCTGTGAACCTATATTCCAAGCAGCAAATTATAGCATGTACTATGAATGCAGGACTCAGTATCAACTTTTGGCTGCCTATTGAAAGTTTTCTACTGCACATAAAGCAGTGTCCAGCTTCGTTAGTGATTGGTCTGTCATGCTGAAAATGCCTCTGGGCAAAATAACACATGGAAATGAAGTGGCCACTGTTTCTTGTTCCTTATGTGCAGTGCATGGACAAAGTCTGCAGCCCAGCTGGGTTGTAGGAAATGTGAGCAGAGAATACTCTGGTTCATGTACTGTTCTTGGCAGGCAGGCTGCATATCCCCCATGCCCATGCCAACAGGCACACAAAATGTTGCTGGGTATTTTTTGGCTTTGCATCAAAACACTCCTGGCTGATCCAGACACAGTTTTATGTTGTTGAAAAGGAAGAGTTACAGGAACCACTCAAAAATCCTTCAGAAATGGAAAATGTGGAAGTTTGAGAAATATGAAAAGTATCCCTGCCTGCTTAGTCTGTCAAAGAAGAAGTCCAGGGGTGCCTGGCTTTTCAGAGTCTGCTGCCTCCTTTACCAGGAGAAGACTAAAGGTCTGTTGTAAAGGGGAAGTAGGCAGGATTATTTCTTTTCCATGCTTTCATCTTCTCACCAAATCCAAAACCCAAGGAACTTCAGTTTCTGAAATTGGAATAATTCATATGCTTACATGGTGATGTAATTTAATAATGTATTCTGACTACAGATTGCAAGAGGGTGGAGCCATAAGCATATTCTTTTAAAAATTGGGACTACAGTGGTGAAAGCAGTTGAAGGGGAGGAAGAGTAAGTGCGCCAATGAGTTCATTTGGTATCATTAGAAGTAGAACACCAAGGATGTTGCAACTTGAAAGTCCATCCAGGCAGTGGTGAGTGGTGGTGGTGGGGAGCTGGTTAAGTACCAGAATCAATTTTTAAAAGTTATCATGAAATTGCTATGCACCAACAATTCACAGGATTGTGTGGGCAATCCTATACATACTTGCTTGTGACTCAGTGGGCCCTGCATCTTATTATACATGGGCAAAATCCAATTGCACTATAAACGTTTTGCATTCCTAGGCATCAGAATCAAATTCCTGAGTACCTCAAACCCTGTCCCAGATCCATGCTTTTTGAGCCATGTGGCTTCAGGCTTCCCTTCTGCAAGAGCTAGAGCATGGGTTTTCAAACTATAGCCTGTGGGCCGAATCTGGCCCACCATGCTCATTTATCTGGCCCACCTCAGAAGTTTTGGACTTGCTCGGAGAAAATGATCTCTGAGCAAGTCCAAAAGCTCTGAGCCGGCACAGGTATTCTTTGAAACTGAGCAGAGAACCGGTGTGTGCATCTAATGGTAAAAGCTCAACTGCGCGTGCACTGGCTCTTCCCCCTCCCCCCCAATTGCACGCATATACAGAGCAGGAAATACGGAGCGTCTCTCTCTCTCTCTTCCAAGGAGGGCAGAAGAGAGAGTGAGATGAAAACGCTAAAAAAGGATTGAAGGTAAGAAAAATAAAACTTTTTAAATCCATTTTTAAGTCCCTCTAAGCATTCCCCTGTTTGCATTGTTAGCTTGTTCATTTAAACGGGTCTGCTTTTTTCCCCTCTGTCTGCTGGCCAGCCTGAGGCTCTTGTGAAATTTTCCTCTCCACACTTGTTGAGAAATGAGGCTGGGGTGGGGAGGGTGTCACTTTTGCTGTTTCTTTGGGGGTTTCTTTAACAAATTCAAATCCCTTGGCGAGGCTAGATGATTTTTCCACTGTCCACCCCACAGAATTGTCTATTTGGGGCTGTCTGTTTCCTTGTTTTTAAGGAGTAAAACTCACTCTGGTTGCTCTTTAAATTCCTTGCCACACTTCCTTGTTGAGAAACAAGGTTGGAGGGGGGTCGCTTTTGCTGTTTCTTTGGGGGTTTCTTTTTCAAACTTTAGTCCAGCCCCCCAGCAGTCTGAGGGACAGTGAACTGGCCCCCTGTTTAAAAAGTTTGAGGACCCCTGAGCTCTAGAGGTTTATTTTTAGGAATAAACCCTCATATCTTTGGATGATCCCTAATTGTCAGTACAATTATTAACACAACTGAATTTGTTTCAACATCATTTCAAAACATCTGTGAAGGAAGGTGGTCATGATTTTTAAAGAGTTCTCACTGATGGCTAGTAATCCAAGTAATGGTTGCTGCTGTCAAGTGTAGGGTTTTTGTTTGTTTAGAACATCTATACTAGAAGAAGAAGAAAAAAATCCAGATTCAGAAATTCCTCTGACTTATTCTGAGAGTATAACCCTAAATCCTTTAAATACTATATAAGGAAATGTGGTAAATTCAAGGCTCTTTAAAATTGGTACAGAAGTTGTTCTGGATTTTTGAAATCTTTTTTTGTACATTTAAGCTCAGAAACAAGTATCTTTAAAAAGCGTGTAACCTGCAGTCAGCATGTCTCAACTGCTTTGTTTGTTTAAGGAACTGCCAATAAGTGCAGCAATTTAAAGGACATATTCAAAGCTGGGAGCAATTGCCTCTTGGAAGCAAATGTATGAGACTTGTTAGAACATTTGTTGACCAAAATCTCAAGCTATAAACATGTAAAAATATTGGGTCTATATGCCTTGGCAGTACTTGAATGAACAGTGCTTTATGTGCAATTTATTAGTATAGTTATTTATATGATTACATGTCTAATTAAAAAGACACCAATGATTCTTCATGTTTCAGTAGTGATATGTATACATCTGAGACCATAAAATCTGCAGACAATATTTTGTTTGTTTGGAAGCCTGAGAATCAGTGGGATTCAGTAGTCAGTACTCCAAGAATTGGTTCTAGGAGATCTTAGATTGAGGTTTGGGCCTTCAGGGGCAAATTATTCTCTTTCTGTCCCCTGCCATGAGGTGCTCCCCTGCTAGAATCCATCAGCATGTCACATAGCTTGCTACTGTCCTTTCAGCATTTCCTGGAAGGACTATGCAAGAAGTCTGTGACATCAGAAAAAGTTTGATTAACTAACCCACAAAGTAAGATTTACAGGCAGTAGTCACTTACCCATCCAATGGCATTGACTTCTCAAAAGAACCTCCTGCTTAGAGTTGCTGTGTGTGAACTTCTGTTATGATATATGGCTGTTTTGCCATTTTCCCTACCACCTCTTCTGACACTGAATCAGGAATTGAGGCTTTCACTGAAAACTTGTTAAGTAGCTTCCTTCTACAGAGTTTGTCCCAATTTTAAAACAATCTTACTGTCCCAGTTTCTACACATTGGGGAAACAGACCTTCAGAATATAGGGCCCCCTTCTGATGTTACCTCAGCAATGTAGAGACTGGAATGATACTGTAGAAATAAATCCTTTCTGCATGACTTCAGGCTTCCAATGCTGCACTAGCAACATGGGAAGCCATGATGCTGCAGCTCTTACACTACCGAGGTAACGTCAGAAGAGTCCTAAATATATTGCTAAGTAGCTCCATGCAGATATACCAGTTCTCTAAGGGTCAAAGTAAATGTTTTCTGTAGCCCTGTAGATTTATCCATGCTAGATATTTTTATCTCTGTGTAGTGTGTGGAGCCCCAATTTAGATTAGAATTATGGTGTTTGTGAGGTGGATCATTAAACTTTTCTAGTCCATCTTGGTTTTGGAGGGGGTTGGGGGAGTGAAATTGTGCTCATACACATGGGGTGGTAAGGAAAGGGAAGATAAGGTCCCACTGGAATTTTGCATACCTTTAAGTGCAAAATTTGTGCAAAAGTGGGGTGCAAAGTGTCATGATGCCTGTTCGCAAAGGTGCTATACATGTTTATATAGGTGTGAAGTGATCTAGCATTCACAGCTGCACAATGTGTACCAGGTAGAATGTTTAATTTGGCCCTGCATTTCCAGGGTATAAAGATATTTCTTATATATTGTTAACTCTGCCAGGAGAAAGGAAAGCTGAAGGAGCTTTCCTACTGGCTAGTGAGTGCAGGGAGGGGGATGAAGTAGGGTTAAGGTCAGGGTAGAAGTTATACAGGCAGTCCCCAAGTCAGAGTTATGAACAACTGCCATAAAGCCTATGAATTTAAAAATTTAAGTTAAAGGCCTATTGCAGGAAATCTCATCACCATAGAGAGATGAAGCAGAAGGGGAGAGAAGAAAGGCCTCCAAAGCATCACCATAGAAAGAAAGTGAAAGTGTAGAGAAAGAGGCCTCCAGAGCAGTCCTTCCTGCCCCACCCGTCTGGAGAGGGAAATCTCTCTAGAATTTCTATAATGCAAAGAGGAGGTATTGGTGTTTGGGCTGAGGCAGGGAGACATAGAGATATTCACTGTTTTTCCACTTGCGTGGGGGTCCTGTGCCCTAACCCCTCGAAATGTGGAGGGCCGACTGTATGCAATCCACCTTATATGCAAATTCAATTAAAGATGAATTTCCATTTTCTCAGGAACAGAACTCATTTGTAACCTGGGAACTACTTGTATAAAAGGAGGAATGCTGTTGGGTGGGGAGATGGCTTCAAAACCTAAGATAAACTCGCTTAAAGAATTAATGGAAGGAATTTTCATGTCTTATTTTCCCAGCAGCCCCCTGCTATGCATACCATATTGTTCAAGAGCCCCCCACCCTGCATGTTTCTCATAGGCTAACACATGGGTGCCTAGGGAGGAGGAATGCAAGTGGCACAGCGGGTTAAACCATTGAGCCACTGGGCTGTTGATCGAAAGGCCAGCAGTTCGAATCCATGTGGCGGGCTGAGCACCCACTGCTTCGTCCCAGCTCTTGCCTACCTAGCAATTTGAAAGCATGCAGATGTGAGTAGATAAATAGGTACCACTTCGGTGAGAAAGATAACAGTGTTCTGTGTGCTTCAGCATTTAGTCATGCTGGCTACATGGCCATGGAAGCATCTTCGATAATGCTGATTATTTGACTTACAAACAGAGATGGGCACCAGCCCCAGAATTGGACATGACTAGCATGCATGTGTGGGGGAACCTTTACTTTTGCCTGGGGATGAAGTTGTACTAAACTTCCCTTCCATTAAAATCCTTAATTTATTTTAGGATCCAAGCTATTAACTTGATTTGAAGATTTTTATGTCATTCATGATCTTTCTGTGGGGCTATATGTATGCAGAAACAAGATGTGACATGGGGATCTCTGGCTGAATGGAGACTTGTACATACAAATTAGTGCTGCTGTTTTAATTCCAATCCTGTTCCAGAAGCTGGGCTGTGCATGCATAGTTCACTCATAGCTGTGAAGTCCACCCAGCATTTAACCCTACAAATTTAGGGTTAAACATTTAACCCCCCCTCCCAGCCCCTACCTTAAAAAATTATAATAAACAGCCAAATTCTGTACGTAAGTGAGTTCAGTTGCTTTAGTATAATGTTTAAGAAATGTTCACCTTTCAAAATTCTTGAGTGTTTTTTGCTCCTTTACTGCAGATGTTTGTCATGGTGTAAAATAAATTGCTGAAAATATTGGTATGCATGGATGTTCTGATTTGTAAAATAATTAATTGACAGGGTCCTTGTCGAAGAGAAATGGAAGACACACTAAACAACCTAAAGATTCTGAACGTTTTAAGTCCAAGAGGACTGCATATTCCAAATTGTGACAAGAAGGGATTCTACAAGAAAAAACAAGTGAGTTACATTTCTTGCCCATTTCCATTTTCCCCTCCTCTTTGTACTATAAGCAGATCAATTGCAGTCTCATTATTAACCAAGATGATGATGATAACGATAACAGTGCTCAGTGCATATCATTTTAATTGAATGCTAATTTAACACCAATGTAGGGCACCTGTTGGTTTGGCTCCAAAGTACAATGTAAGGTGCGGTTGCTGTTTTATTTGCTGCTGTTCACGACAACAGATTAAGTTGGAGAAACCTCATACATTTGAGCTGACCCCTGGATACCCGTGCCCTTCAGTTTAAAAAAAGAAGTGACTCTCCAAAAAAACAAAACAAAAAAGACTGAGCAAAATGTTGCCATCACCATATGACTGTAATAGATCAATGCTTTGGATTGTAAATAGCTCCCTGAGAGTTGCTAGAAGAATTGAGTTGGGTTGTATTTCAGGCAGTAACTTGAGCAACCCCATATGTCTGTCCTTTATGTGCTTCAGAGGATTGCTTCCAAAATCTAGTCCTGTGATCCGAAAGTGATATGTACTCAGCTTTTACTTCACAGTAATGCTGGCCTCTCAAGTGCTCTGGGTTTTCCATCTGCATCAGCCTATGAGGTTATGACCTTTCTTGCCAAATGTAGATCACCACACAGCTACCCATACCTTAGTTCCAGACTGAACTGCCAGTGGGTTTAATTAATGGCTACAAAATAGCACAAATGTACGTTTGGTGATTTTTATTTGGAGGGGCACAGTGCTCTTTGTATTCTATGTGTCTGTACCTTCAACCATACTTGGCTAGACTTTCCTGAATTTCCATAAATCAGATCTGTGTACCTGTTCCAATTCCAAACTGAATGCCATGTTGGGTGCCTCAACCAGGTCACTCAACTTGCATATAAAATAAGTTGGATCAACCAATGAAAAATTAGGATGCTACATTCTGCTGCTAGACATAATATCCCTGGGAGCAAATGTGGTATTGTGCAATTTGAAACATGAATGATAAGTAAATGAAACATGTTGAACATTTCAGGAGTACTGAAAGAGAGCTATAAATGGAAGGCAAATGAAGTAAATTAAATTCTCCCTGGTAATTTAGGCTTAGTTCTAATCTGGGACAGTAGTAATGATTTTTTTTTTTTTTTTTTTTTTGCATTTCCACTGTGCATTATTGTGTTTTTCCTTTCTGAATAACCTAATCTCCAGGATGGATTTTCTGCTCTCTTAGCCTAGTTCTCACTGAAGTGGCAAACCTGTGACTGGCTGTGCCACTTAATGAGGGGAGGACTCATATGTATTCCTTTAATTCCTTTAATTTGTTTAATTTCCATTTGCCTCTTTGAAGGCAGTAATACCTTTATTTTGCATCACACATATGGGGCTCCATGCCTGCATGGACTATTGTTGGAAAATTTCTACAGGTAAGCATTAGTTTGTGTGGAAGCCCCTCCCCTTCCTGTTCCCGGCATCTGTGGGAAGGGCTTCCATCCATTCCCTCAGTTGCTTTGTGACTTTCCCTGGAATGCAGCCTTTGAATTTGATCCTCAAGTTGAAAGAGGTTCCCCACCCTTGTGCAGGAGAAAGACAGTTTATGTCAGTGAGTCAAAAATGTCCTATCCTCATTAAAAAACAAACTTTGCCTACATCCACCTAGGCATGGCTTCCCGGTTGGAAGGCCTGGTTTCCTGCCAGGCATGAGCCCCAATTAACCAATCTCTGAGTTTTCAGAAATTGAGAAATTGGATGTGAGTTACTTGTTTTTTAATAAGCAGAGCACTGTATCAGGTATTCTGCCCCCTTTCCACAGAGTAGGCTGCAGAAAGAAAGTTTTGCCTGGTGGACCACCCACCTTCCCATGAATGTTTCCTCAAGCCACACCTCCTGCTTCCAGTTGCCATTTTGCAACAGCTCTGCAGCAATGACTGCAGTGCTTTCATTAGAAATATTATTAGCAAAGCATTCTGTGTGTGTTTTAGCTGCCCTTTTATGTGGTTTGGGAGTTGGAAATGAGGAAAGTCAACATCAAGTGACCAGCCAACCTGCTGTGGATTCCAAGGAGTCCACAGACTTCCCTGTTTAAAGTTTGTTGCTCTATATATTGCTTATATTGCTCTATATTGGTTTCTCTCTGTGTGACATCTTTAAAGCGGGTTGCCATCTGTGGAAGCTGCATTAAATGCATTTTAATATTTTGCCTTTTCTCTTTGTGCACAAAGGATTGGTGCACAACTTAATTGACATTTCTTTTTACAGCTTTTTCTCGAATTATATTTGAGACGGGAGTTCTAATTTAAGTTCCTAATAAAAATAATATTAATTTACAGTCAATGTGCACAACCACATTTTTCCTTAAATTTGCTCACTTACAAGGGACCACCATACATTCCACTTAGCCTTAAAGACACAGTCTAACAACGGATGGCTTTTGTATTTTCAAAAGAAATAGAAACATAGAAACAGAGCAAGTCAGAAGGGGTCTCCCAGACCATCTAGTCTGACCCCCGGCTCCAGCCGTCTCCGCTCACGACATACCCACCATGTGCATGTCCAGCCTATCTTTGAACACCCACACCAATGGGGCCTCAACCACCTCCTGTGGGAGCCCATTCCATACCCTCGGGGTCCTAACTGTCAAGAAGTGCTTCCTGGCATCTAAATTAACCTCGGTTCCCTGAGCTTTGCTCCGTTGGTGTGCGTCCTGCCTTCCTCTGCAGGGGAGAACAGGTCTCTACCCATCTCTGTGTGACATCCCCTCACATGCCTGTATGTCGCCAACATATCCCCTCTGAGTCTCCTCCAGATTGAAGAAGCCCAGTTCCCTCAGTCTTGCCTCATACAGCATCCCCTGCAAACTGGCCACCAACCTTGTGGCCCTGCGCTGCACTGACTCTAACCTGGCTATATCCTTTCTGTAATGAGGGGCCAAAAACTGAGCACAGTACTCCAGTTGCAGGCACACCAGAGTCGTATAGAGTGGTAGTAATACCTCTCTTGATCTAGAAGCCACCCTTCTGATTATGTAACCAAGGGTGGCATTTGCCCTCTTGACCACCGCATCACACTGCTGACTCAGATTTCTGATTTTTTGTCCCAGAAAGCAACCTTGCACAATCTTGTGATAAAAAGACTAGAAAAAAAGACTGGAGTTCCACAAGTAACGTTAATGTGTTCTTGGGCTCTCTTGCTCTCTCGCTCTCTTTTAGGTAATTTCATATCCATCCTGAGTTTCATTGAACTCAAAAACTCCCTCACTTTTGAATTTTGTGTGGTCCTTGTTAGTAATGATTTGAACAAGTTTGCTTTAGTGGTGTGCAGCCCCAGTGGGTTCCACAATTGGGGTAGGAAAGGGAGTCAATTGCCATTGAATTCTTGATGCATTTGTCCTTATGAAATACAAGCACGCTATGAACCGAGTATACTGATGCAGCTTTATTACATTAGGTATCAAAACTGAATAGTACTTGCAGGTTCTCTCAGTGCTGTGAAAGTGGGAACACCCCAACTTCCATGGTCATGAACCGGTTAAATAAATAGGTCAAAGTGTCATGTATACCATCAGGTAATTGATTCTGCAGGGTATCCTACCCTGCTCCCCAACTGCCTTTTACAGAATTTGGTATTTTGCAATTATTACATTTTTATTAAGGATATGGGGGACAGGGATGAGAATTAAGAAAAGGAGTAGAGGACTAGCTCTTTGGGGCAGAGAAGAGCTTCCTTTTGATCCTAGGCAACTATAATGTGACTACTCCCTGTTCTCTATCTTTTCAACAAAAAAATAAACCCAGTATCTTCTTCATAATGATATTTAAACACTTGCATTTATTAAAACCAGAGGGCTGAGATAGTTCAAAACTTGTGCAGACTGCCAAATTTCTCATTGGAGACCATATTCTGTTATCTCTGTTGTGATTATAGCTCTGCAGATTCATTGACTCTGTGGTTTGTTTTGTTACATTTATATCCTGCCTTACCTCAGTCATAGAACTTAAAGAGGTGCACAGAGTGTTCTTAGGCAGTCACCCAAAGAGGCACTGACCAGATTCAGACCCGCTTAGCTTCAGCAAGGTTGCTGAGTCATGTGCCTGCTAGACCATGCTGGAGAACAATCATCTGTGGGAAATCATGACATATATTAATCTGGAGTAAGTGGTTTTCTTAAAAAGGCATGGAGAGTGAAGCAATGTGAAGCTATTTCTCAGCTTCATTACATAAGAAAGATACCGTTATGTATCGGTATACACACAGTATTTATGAAAATGTGCATAGTGGTAGCACTTTGGGTGATGCACCTCCATCTCTTCCCCTGCCACTAGTCCTTGAGAAAAATTACACTTCATTTTCCTTTCTTTAACAAAAAAGCAGTTACCAAATTTTTAAATAAGAGTTTATGCTGCACATAGGATCGAGACGGATAACTAAGGGCAAAACCACACAGCACTTGTATTGCACAGTTAGCAACCACATCTGGTAGTGTATTGTTTTTTAAATAATAATTGATGCAAAGGGCTTCCTTATTTAAACTGGGATCATGGCATGCATTGGAGAGAGGCTCAACCTTTTCCTTTCCACCTTGACGCTGATGAAAATGGCTGTATTCATGGCAATTAGTGTTGTGGGGTGGCAGGGAGCTCCCACTGGTACCAAGTAGTATACTGTTACAGGTGTGATTGCTAGCCAAATAATAAAAATAGCATTTGGTTTGGCCTTGGGATCAGTGTTAGTATTGCTAATAAATCCCTTTGACAATTGAAGCAGGGGCAAATTGGATTGTAAATGGGGAAAACTATGGTAAGCCCTTCCTAAAGGTGGCTCACACACTCTTACGGTGCATTCATATGCATGTTTATTCAGAACAAGTCCCCCTGGAAAGCAGCCTTAGACTTCAATTCTGTATTTGTCTACTCAGAGGTGAGTTCAGTAAGACTAACTCCTGACTGAGCTCCCAGCTCACTGGGACTTACATACATGTAAATTTGTGTAGAACTGCACACTATTCATACTCATTTCTCATCCCCTAAAATACAGGCTTAAGAAGAGACTGCTGTTACCTACATTTGCGAAAAAACTGCTGCATATATACTGTAGTCCAGCTTCTGCTAGTTCGAGCTGTTCTTTATGGTATTAATGAGAACAATAGCAGAATAAATGTTCCTTGAAAGTCGTGCTGTCTCTCACAGCTATCATTTGCAGTAATTTCAGATGGTGGCTCCATGCAGTAGCAGCTGTTGCAGCAGTCCATATTAGTGTGAACGTCAGAAGCATTCCACTGAGGAGGGTGAAGGGGCAGATTTGAAATCCCAGCAGCTGTGTTCCAGAAGGACTGGGTGTTGCACGGCTACACTGAACAGTCCATTAGAATTATCAACACTTTCAAATGTGCCTTTAGGGCTCTGTCCTGTCAGAAGCAGAGCATTCTTCTATGGACCCACATGCTCGCTTGCTTGCTTGCCCCCCAAACCCATCTCCCACACCCCCATCTCTATCCCTTTTAGCAAGAGCATAAAGATGTATTACATGCAAATAGGCATCCCCAACAATGCAGTCCTTCTAAGGATAAAATATTGCAGAAAGGAAAGAAATATATATCTAGAACAATGTCCAGGTTTGTGGGGAGGAGATCAAAGTGATTTGAAGAGGGGGCACTTTAGAGGGAAAAAATGGCAAGTAAGAAAAAAACCTTAAGCAACCCCTCTGTTTCAGAGTGCCCTGTGTTGAAGCTGTTTTCTTGAGAAGTAGCAGACACGAGTTTTCTTGGAAGCATTTATTTATAGAGTATATTTGGGCCTTAAGAACAGAGTGCATTGTACTCTAAACAGTTGCTTTTTGCTGGGGAGGGAAAGAGACTGAGGTGGCAATAGACATTGGTGGGACCTATCAGCCATAGTCTTCTCCCCACCCCCAGCATGCTCTATTTCCACCCCTCTGAGGCTCAGTTGCAACCTTGGAGAGACAGCTGGCCTAGTGTTTTCTGTTTTGGCTATGTGGGGCTGGGGTGGGAACTCAGTCTTTAGAGTCCCAGCTTCAGGGCCATAGAACTTCAGAGATGGAACTGCAAATAATCTTGTGGGCCCCCAGACAATGTCAAGTGGCCCTGTGATTGTTTCCTTATTATTACATCTCTACCTTTTCCCTTCGTAAAGTAGCTTATATAGTTCTCCTCTACTCTCTTTTCTCTTCACAACAAACCTGAGAGGAAAGTTAGGCTGACAGTGAATGACAGGCCCAAAGTCACCCAGTAACCTGTCAGCACTAACCACGCCATTGTCTCTTGATAAATTTTGTGTTATTTAGCAAAACAACTAAGGGAGCCAGCACTTTTTCAATAGCTTTAGCTCAGCTCCAGTGTTTTGCCTCAGAGAGTTTCTTACTCTGTGACAGCCATATTTGCCATTGGGTTGACATATAATTGAGCAGAGACATTAGATTGCATGGTATTTGGGTTTCCAGGGTTAGTGGTTTGAACTGTGTGCTCAGGCATTCCTGTTGCATGTGATTCCACTCACTTGTTTGTCTTGTGCAGAATGATCTGCTAGGCCAGGCACCCTCGTTCCATTCATCTTGATTATTCCTGTTATTCGTAACATGCCGCGATCCACATGCTAACAGTGCATTTGCTGGAGATTGCTCCACACAGGAACGCACTCTGGGACAGAGTGTGCTTCATTCATGACCATTTGGTTTCATTCATTCCAATTCTCTATGTCTGAGGAACATTAAGTAATGAAGAGCAAATCTGTATTTCTCCATACCTCAAACAAACAAACAACAACAACCCATAGTGAGTTCTCTCCCTGTCTCAGTATTCCTTTTCTATAAAAGGGTATATTGTTTGCTATTTGAGATTACCTTGTTACCCTATTTTCCTGTGTAGCAAGGCTCTCTTGCTGTGTTGTTGACTTTGCTGCCTGAACACCTAGGCTGTGGAGCTGCTATACAGGAGCACTAACACACTTGCAGTCCCAGTGGTGCATTCTAGCTCTCCCAGTCCTTTCAAGTTTGCTTGCTTGTGCAAATATATCATTGGATCAGGTTGTAAAGTAATATTTTAAAAGAACGGATTTTGTTCCCTGCCTGCCTGCCTGCCTGCCTGCTGCTGTCTTTCCATTCAATAGGATTAATGTGGCAATTCTTAATTTACAACATTGGTTTTAGTTTTAAAGCTTGCTATTAAAGAAGATTGATGCCAGCTGTTCCTGTGTGCCATGAGGGTATGGGCAAAAACCCATAGAGTTAAACTTCAACATTTCAATTGAATATTAAGGAAGACATCTGGGCTGCAGAACAGAGGGCAATGGAATTGGCTGCCTGGGGAAGTTGCCA